AAACTGGCTGCTTCCCTTTGGGGTTCTCCCCATGCGCAGGGCTGCCTTCTTCGCTGTGCTGGCCCGTGTGTGCCTTGCACATGGCAGATGCCCAGTGAATATTCTGATCTACGGAAAGAGCGAATGAACGTGAGGCGTGGCTTATAAGAGAGTGCGTGAGCAAGTCCCATCCTAGCTTCCTTCCAAGCCAAGGTCAGGATGAGGTAGAAACCAAACAGTAGAGGGGATATGGACTTGAAACCCACATGGCCGACCACACAGAGGGTGTCCGCCTGGTGGGGGGCTCTGCACCCCCAGCTGCTGTTGTCTGCCTGTGTGGACCTCGGGTGCCGTGGGCCCGGCTGACCTCAGGGGTCGGCTTAGGAATACACACGTGACTCGGCCTCCAGCCCACAGAGGCGTCCCGGTGCGGAGCCCTGAGTCCTTGCGGAAGGCTGGGATTCCTCACGGGGACGTGAAACCTGCTCGCTGCTCCTCGACGCTTCACCACAAGCCACAACGGGAAATGCATTTTGCACTGGGCCTCCACTCACATACTTCCACGTTACTTATGGTCTATTCTAACACGCAACACGCACACTTCTTCACCTTCTAGCATCCCGCAACTGGGGCGCCTGGGTGGCTCAGTCAGTTAAGCGTCTGACTCTTGATTTCAGCTCAGGTCATGATCTCCCGGTTCATGAGTTTGAGCCCCGTGTCGGGCTCTGCGCTGATAATGGGGAGCCTGCTTGGGATACTCTCACTCCCTCTCTCTCTCTGCCCCTCCTCTGCTCATTCTCTATCTCTCACAATGAATAAATAAACTTAAAAAAGCGTAGTCTCACAATCAAAAACTCCACCTGGCAATCAAGAGCTCCCTGGGCCCTCCTCACCCTGCCAAGGCTGCCATTTTACTGGGACCACGTGGGTCGAATTTCATTTTTGTTAAAATGTCTTCATGGAGAGTTGCTCTGAAGCCACATTGAGAGGAAAGGATTTTGAGTATGCAGAAAAATACCAAAGCAGGATCGCTAATTCACATTAGGTAACAAAAACCAAATTCAATGTCAGGGGAGCAAATATTTAGCATTGATTGGGAGGGTGACCTTGAGGCCACATGTTCTTTTTTTCCAAAACAACCACCAAGTGCTTTATGAGTCTTAAGAAGGGAAGTCGTGGGGCGCCTGGGTGGCTCAGTCGGTTAAGCGATTGACTTCGGCTCAGGTCACGATCTCACAGTTCGTGAGTTCGAGCCCCGCGTCGGGCTCTGTGCTGAGAGCTCAGAGCCTGGAGCCTGCTTCGGATTCTGTGTCTCCCTCCCTTTCTGCCCCTTCCCTGCTCATGCTCTCTCTCTGTCTCAAAAATAAATAAAAACATTAAAAAAAATTTTTGTTAATAAAAGGAGGGAAGTCGCCCACAAGTAGGTGAAGCTGGGTTGTTTGGTGGCTGAGACACATGTGAAAGGATGGACTAGGACGCACCTCCCAACGCAGCCAAAGGCCGGAGAAACGGCCACGTCTCTCTGGACGGATGAGAAACTCAAAGCACCAAGAAGCTGTTGTGACAGATTCTGGTGTTTCAAAAAAGTCTGCTGTTCAACGTCACTCAGTGTGGCGTAATTGGCTGTGTTCTCCTTCTTACTCATAAAAATCACGGGACGTCTTACAGACTCAGGCATCAAAGAACGCACGGCCGAACCACGTGTTGCAAACCAATACTCATCTTTAGCGTAGAATTCACTAAACGTTTCCTATTTCGTTCTACTTCATTTTTTAAAACTTCTGGCCTGGCCCACGTAA